ACGCATCGCCATCTCGAATTAACTTATGTCTGTCGAGACCAAAATTTAAAAAACGTGAACATCACACAGATTAATATGTACCCCTAAGTCTCTGGAACGGAATACATGCACAAATGAACCTACAACTACGCGATTTATATTTTAAAAATAATTAAATTCACTTAGCATTCAAAACTTGTGAATTTTGAAAAACACAAATTTGCTGATTAAATACGGACAACCGTTTAACTGAAGTAAAACGGGTTTTCCCCTTGCTATGGATGTCTGCCTAGTTCAGTTCATCCACATTCCGCTACAGTTCGCCTTTACTGTATTATCAGTTCGAAATGGGGTGGTTCCATAATACCCGCAGTGTTCCATAATACCACCTTCTCCTCTAGTGAATACATGAACGATACTTAGTCAGTAAACAATGTTTCGTTCAAATCCATTATTTTTTGGCGCTTCTTCAAATTTAAGAGAATTGCTTACGATTAATTAAGCTCATCTTTTAGTTTTTCAGCTCCATCTGGGAGGTTAGAGAAGCCTCTTCTAATGTATGTGGCTTATAGAATCGAGTTCGTTCCCAAAATTTGATCAGTCGATTTTGATAAAATTTTTCAAGATCCCGAGTCCAAAAATATAAAAACCTTGGGGATTGTTTTTTGCGATTGCCATATTTTTCCTTGGTTATATATAATAGCCGGAAAAGTAATATTATTGTGTAAAAGTAATTTCATAAAAACAGGTACATTTAAATTAAATCACTAACACTTACTATTTTAAAGTGTATAGACTACTTTAATCTACAATTAGTAATAAATTGATTAAATTCATATACTGTATATTCCAAAATTTATTATTGTACAAACGTACATATTAAATTGAAGATGTTATGAATTTGCTTGCGGTATTTTCATTGTTACCTGTAATATATAAATGTATGATTTATTAAAGAATGTATAATTATTATAAAATATAAATAACTTACAGTCTTTATTTCTGCAAATGCATGCATTGCGTCTATTCCTCTGGAAAATAAAACATATTTGAAGATTAAATATATACAGATAACATCAAAATAGTAGCTTTAAAATTATTTACTAATAATGTTTTCAAACCTTTCTCTTCCTATTCCTGACATTTTGTAACCTCCAAAAGGACATTGAGCAGGCAATTCAAGGAAGCAGTTTATCCTAAATTATGGCATTGTTTATTTTAAAATGTATAAAAAAAATTATCTAATTTTAAAATATTTTTCTCTTTACCAAACTGTTCCTGCTTTTACTCCTTGCATAAACATCATTGCAGTATTAATATCTTTAGTTATGACTCCCGCTACAAGGCCATATTCTGTATTGTTAGCTCTTTCAATGACTTCTTCTAGAGTTTTGAACTTCATTAATTGCTGTACTGGTCCGAAAATTTCTTCTCGAGCAATTTTCATATGATCTTGTACATTAGAAAATACGGTTGGTTTTATATAATAGCCTATATTACCGAATCTTGTACCGCCACATTCTAATTTTGCTCCTTCCTTCTTTCCCGATTCAATAAGGTCCAAAATTTTATTGAACTGTCGTTCATCAATCTAATAAATATTTCAATAATTAGATTTTCCCATTTTGTTTTGTTTACGTTATAATAAAATTTAAAACTATTACTTGAGGGCCCTGTTCGCTTTTTTCATCGAAAGGATCTCCAACAACTTTATTTAAAGCTCTTTCTCGACTTTTCTTAACAAATTCCTCGTATACGCCTTCCTGAACAAATATCCGAGTTGCTGCACAACAAATTTGTCCTTGGTTGAGAAATGTCGATTGATGGGCCAATTCCACAGCTAGATTTACTAAAAAGATCATTTAAAATTATAATTTTTATAATTAATCTTAAAATTCTTTAAAATATATATATCGAATTGCTTAATTTATATTGAATTCTTATCTTTATTAATCAATGATTATACTATACAATCACTAAAATAACCAGATCTGACATAACGGGGATTCAAGTTAAAATTTAAAATAAATCACTGCACATTTTAATAAACTTTTGCTGTTCATACTTAGGCCTATATATTGAATTATAACAAACACATATAAATTATTAAGTCAGAAATTTGAATCCAGAATTAAATTACTTTTTCAATATTTATAATTTGATTAACGTTGTCCTTGACATTTTATTTCACCAAGTAAGTTTTTATAATTTTATTTTTAATTCTAGCCCTTATACCATATAAATTATTAAGTCAGAAATTTGAATCCAGAATTAAATTACTTTTTCAATATTTATAATTTGATTAACGTTGTCCCAGACATTTTATTTCACCAAGTAAGTTTTTATAATTTTATTTTTAATTCTAGCCCTTATACCATGGCTAGCGATTCAGAATGTAATTGTGATATTAAAAATTTATTTTAAAAAAGTTTTGTCTCAAGACCATGTAATGAGAAAGAAAACATTATTAACATAGAAAAAGGAGTCCTGAAGAAAGATTTTTCACTTGGAAATGGAGATGTTATTGAATCCATGGAAGATGGCGAATTCTACAAGTATTTAGGATTCCAACAGGCCAAACTAACAGAACATACACAAATAAAGCAAAGATTAATTAAAGAATACCAATGTAGGTGAAACGATATTCTCAGAACACAGTTAAATGCAAAACACACAGTTAAAGCAATAAACATATATGTCATCCCAGTACNGAAAATACTAAACAGAACAACACTCTATGAAGATATAAATAAAGAAATTAAACAATTATTTAGAAAATATTTATTGAATGATTACCCGAAGAATAAAATTTGTAAGTGGTATAATTCTTTTATAAATTACAGATATAATGTTAAAAATTGTATAGATAATAACATTTATGTAAAAATGCCTTATATATATAGTTTTTATGAACGATATAAACCTTTATTTAAAAAGTCTTCTGTATGTGTAGTGGCCAAGCAGGAAAATAAAATGTCGAATGTTATTAATATTATAAATACTAAAGGTCGAAAAACAGTAAGAAATCAGCTTGACGTCGCAGGAGTGGTCTACAAGGTATCATGTGATTGTTTACAAGCGAAATCATATGTTGGAGAAACGGGACGGAAGCTCGAGATACGCCTAAAAGAACACGAGGCAGCGATTCGTCTAAAAAGACAAGAGTCACCATGGTATCAACATTGTGTTAATTATAATTGTAAAATTAATAGAGACTCTGTAAGAATATTGTATAAAATGGAAAATTTGTTTAAAAGACGTGTGGTAGAACATCTTTGTATAATAGAACATGCAAATTTGTTGAATCAGAATGTCGGTCTTAACGTTGATGCATGCTGGGAAAAATTTATTTGTATAAAAGGAAATAAGTGTCTGGTTGTTGGATAATCCACTGATGAGGCTGTAAAGGCGAAATGCATTTGGAACGTGATTTGAAAACTATGAAAATAAAAGAATTAACATTGGTTAAAGTAAAGTATCTTTGTTGATTACTATTTGTCCGCTAATATAAATCACTCGAAGTCGGTCTAGGAAAGAGTGTTTTAATTTACTCGTCTATTTTTAGAAATTATATTTTTAGTATTCTTATCGATCCCATTGTTTTATATTTTTATATTTTTTCAACTATTCTAATAGTTTGGTTGGTAATAATTATGGTAATTTATTAGATAAAGATTAGGTTAGGTTAGAACGTGCGTCCACGCTGCTTTCTTTCTTTGGTTATCTGGAATCAGAGACGCGCCGCCATTTTAGTCACCAAAGGTAACATTAACGCACAATTTTATCATGCGAATGTGCGCCGGAAAAAGTATGATAACTTTCTTATTTTTCGTCTCTGGTCCAAAAGTAGGGTATCGTTGAACTCGTCTCAGTCCCCTCAGTTCAGATATACAGTACAACCAAAGTTCCGATATTCCATAGGTGGTAATCTATATAAGCCCCATTTCCCTAATTGTAATAATATTTTAAACCGTTTGATTTTTTGTATTACAGTTTTTTACTTGATTGATGATTGATTCTATTAACTAATTTGTTGATTGTTTGATTGTATTAACTTGATTCTTTAGATATCGAAAATTAAATAAACAACACTATGTTAATTTAAGCGTATAGAAACGTTGCTATTGTTCCAGCAAAGATCTTATTTTCACTTTACCGAGTGTCTAGTAGGTAATGTGCAGATTACCTAGATACTCTGCACATTACCTAGGTAATTTGAGAAATGAAACAATTTTCGCAACTTTAACGGATCACCCTAGTTAATCTGCAAATTAGTTAGATAATGTACACATTAACGGCTTTCGAGCTTTAGCGGTAACACATGCAGTACAGTAGAGCGTCGTTTATCCGAAAGCTGGTTATCCGAAACGTCCGTTATCCGAAAGCATTCCAGTCGGCAAATTTAAATTTTCGCTAGTGCTGTGGCGCTGCAATCTTCGGCTATTTCTCGGGTTACTGTACTCAAATATTTTACGTTTTTGATACTAAATTAACATTTATTGTTTTTATATTTTTCAATAAATTTATTTTGTTTGTACAAAATGAAAAAATAATTTTTAACGATACAATAGTCTTCGTTAGGCTTAACATCGACGAAAATTCAACGCGAAG